GAAAGCATGAAAAAGAGACCAGCTAATTCAATAAAGTATTGTGATATATCCCAGATCATCCCTACCTGCAGCTTCATACATTGCCCACCAACCTCTGTCCTGTGAATGTACTATAATGAGATTTGGTCGAGTGACTTCTGCAGATCTTCTCCCAATAGGGCGAGTGTTGGAGGGAGCCGAATTGGTAGGTCTACACAACATGATGTCTCAAACCTTCCCTTTGCCTTATGAAAGATACAGTTGTTAAGAAGTACAACTTAGGCATACATAACACCTACGTCTAATGTGGGCTTAGGATGCTGTTTAGTGAAACGTACGTGGGGTATCAGAAGGCGAGGATTTGATGACCACATGTTAAAAAATCTTCTGAGATGATGCACGATTTTGGAGTATCACCTAATAAACGAGATAAATGATCACAATGCTGGAGGCGATATTTTGTCCATCTTTACATTTCTGGAACTTAACGTAATTTTTGACATTAGTGGACCCTTAATGTTTGTTGACGGTACTACAGATTATATTCAACAGTATGCATCATGTATTTGTGATCATTTTATAATAACCTCTAGGAAAACACTATTTGTGGTGCCTGAACACTATTATAAAATTAAAATTTTGCTCAAGATAAGGAATAAATGTCATTTTACCAGATATTATTGCCATATGCATGTATAGCCTTACAAAGATCCAATCAGAGGGTTGCATTTGCATCTGGATTTCTAAAATCATTTGAAACTCCCTATTAGCAAGTGCATATTCATATTCATTATAAGACTTCTTGATATAGCATGCTAATTACTTGCCTGCACTCTGGCTCCCAAACCACAATGAATCCTATTATAAAAGCAGATCACTGCAAACTTCAAACAGCATGCGTCCTGGAGATGCCTCTATTAAAGGAAGAATGCTGATGGAAAATCTTTGATCTTATCAGACGTGATGGAAAATACACATTTGTATTTGAGTAAATCTGTAGAACGAAGCACTTCCCCCCACCCTTAAGTAACCTGAAACCAATTTCAAGTTCCCAAATGCTCTTCAAAGCAGCCCGCCTTGGAAGTAATGCTGATGGCATTACAAATTTCAAGGCAGCTTGCTTTTTCCATCACAGGACTTCAAGCAGATTTAAAATTTTACTTTCAAAGAGGAAGGATATTACCTACTTTTACCCAAACCACTAGCCTCTGGTTTGATGAGCAGAGTGTCATAGGTAATGAACTTACCTAGGGTAATGAATAGATGGTATATAACAAAGTATCTCAGAGCTTGACTAACGCAGCTGATTGTAGGGCATTCTAAGCTTTAAGTGTTGAGAGACTTCCTGCTTCAGTTCTTTCTTGTTCTAGTGTTGTTGACCAAAAGTTGGAATGTAAACTTAGGGCCTGTGGCACGACAACTGTAACACAACTAATCAATCCATCTCCTCCTAAATGGGGCATCTATGAAGCTAAAGACAAAAATCGGTGTGTGCTTGACTCCTGCACCCACAGAGAGCCTGAGCCGCACAATTCAGAACATTCATACTATGAATAAACCCTGTAGCAGGAGGGTCTGTCTGTGGCTTCTTAAAAAGCCTCAGATTTGTGGTCAGTAGAAACATCCATGAGCCTATTTGGGCTGAAGGATACAGTGGCTCTAGTGAAGCTACCCTAGCCTTTAATTAGGTTTCCTGTAATTGCTTTAAGTAAAAAGGTGGGGAGGGGCAGGCGGGGGATGAGGAATGGAACCTGAAGTTATCATCTTGGGACACAAAATATTTGTGTGTGGTTTTAATATCCTGAGCCCATTTGTTGCTGCCCTGCATTTTGGAAAAAGCCATTATAGTTCTGAGGAAATACACACTGCAGGTTTATCAGCCCTTTGGTGACTATAAATTTTTGCAACAACTTTTAAAGGAAGAGTTTTGTTTCCAGTAACTGAATTTCTGCATGAAGAGAGGAGGTATAAACAAGTAAAACAGGCAAAAGTATGAAATACCGGAGAGTGGAATAAAAAGAAAGGTGGGAGTCGAGGGGGAAAGCTGTGCTCCATCTTTCTGTGAATGTCTAGATATCAGAAAATGAGAACCATTACAGTAGGACAGGAAAGTGAGAGGACCAAAGCAGGGATTAGGAAAGTGGAAAGGAAGTAGTGTTTTTTGTTAATAAGTTGGGATTTCTGCTGTGGAGATTGTCTTATTATTTGGACGTTGACTAAAATAATACACTAATCTTTTCATAGAGGGGTGAGGGATTTAGATGCGCCAGTGACTTAAAATTATTTTTATTTTTTTTTAAAGATTTTATTTATTTATTTGAGAGAGAGAGAGAGAGCATGAGTCGGGGGAAGGGCAGAGGGAGAGGGAGAAGCAGACTCCCCGCTAAGCAGGGAGCCCGACGTGGGGCTGGATCCCAGGAATCCAGGATCATGACCTGAGCTGAAGGCAGACACTTAACCAACTGAGCCACCCAGACAGCCCTTGAAAATTATTTTTAAATGGTCACTGTATAAGCATAAAAGCCTTGCTAATTTTCAAGACTTTAAAATCACTTTAAATATATTTAATAAACTTTTGACCATAGAGTTGCCCCATCAGGATCTTGCCCTGCCTTGGGCTTATAAAATCCACTTTCCTGGGCTTCATTTCAGTTCAGGGACCCTTGAGTGGATCTATGTTTCTCTGACTCGAGTCCCATCAGTTCTCAATAGAAAATATTGCTTGTTTCCCCAGTGGGATAGCATCTACTTCTATTGGGTGTTCATTAATTTCCCTGAGGGCTTTTACCCATTTGAGCATGTTCTAGGTTTTAGGGTAAGTTCTGGAATACTCTTTTTTAGTGTCTTTAGATGACACCTTCATGTCACCTATACCAAGAAGTCATAGTCAAAGAGTTTAAGAAATCATACCTTCTAGGAACTAAGCTCTATATCTTACACATATCACACACATATATGTGTATATACACACACACACACATATATATACACATATACACATACATACATATATACACATATATATACATATATATTAATTCTCATCTGATGATGTCATCTACTTGCTTAAAACACTTTAATGACATCCGTGACCTTCAGAAAGAAATTCCAAATCCTAAACATGGTGTGCAACAGGTTCTCAAACCATAGCAAGCATCTAAATTCTTTGAGTGCGAGTTAAACCACAAATCGCTGGGCCCAACTCTCAAAGTTTCTTATTCAATTTGAGTCTGGAGTGGGACTCAAGAGTTTTCACTTCCAGCGAGTTCCCACGTGATGCTGATGAAACTGCTCTGAGACCACACTTTGAGAACCACTGGTCTACAGGACTGTGTATTGACTGATCGTTTTCTTGTCTCTAGCTTCATCTCATGCCACTATCTCTGTGTTTGGTGCTCAGCTGTCTTCCGGGTTCCCAATCTCCTCATTCTCTTTCCTGCTTCTTCCCATATGTTCTGTCCCTCTCCCTATATAATTTAACCAACTTAACTCATGTTGAATCCTTCATACTAAGTTGGGTTTACTTGTTATTCACTCTCATTTTCTCTATACTTCTCCTTTGTAGCATTGAACACAATTGTAATCAAGAAAATAAATTGTATAATCTCTAGTTAATATGTACCCCCTTCACAATTATATAAGTTCATTGAGGGTAATGACTATCCTACTCATCAGAGATTCACAAGTCCCTAGGGCAATATCTTTTCCATAACTGATATGAAATAAATATTTGTTCAATGAATGAATGAATACATGAATAAAAAGTACAAAGCAATATATTTCATCTTTCTTACTGTGCTTATACTTAACCCTAAGGGTCTCCCTGTTAGTTCTCTCAATAAGCACTTCATTCTGATAGAGTGTGCAGGAAAATTGGCAGTTGCCCACATACATCATTCAGATGATCCTTCTTGCTCAGTGCAAAGAGGCATTTTGCAGAATGACTCTCTGAAATAGATTTTGATATATCAAGATAAATACTCTTAAAATGATAATCCCAGATTCTTAGTTCAATTTGTGTTATGCAGGATTACATAATGCTGTAAAATAAAATCCAAATATTTGAGCATTTTAGCTGGAAGCTACTTTAACAGGATTTTGGTTACATTATGATTATAGAGAAACATTTGGGCTTTCAAAATATTATGCATGAAAACTTTAAAGTCATATATTCTTTGGATAGAATAGCAGGGATTTGTTAACTAAGACTAGTATTTTTTTTTAAAGAAAGCAGTGCGCTTTAATAACTAAAAAACAGCTATAAAAATAACTTAGTTTTAGATGATCACCACATATTTATAAAGTACTAGGTCATATTATAATAAAACCTGATATATGACATGTATATATTTATGATTTATGTACTCATGATTATAGTTTTAGATCATTCTCATTCCTTGTGAAGAGTTAGGAGGATTCAATTATTGTAAAACTATGTAAAGTGTTGTAAAACTGTATATAGCTGTATGGTACCAGATGATACTATAATAAAATTGATATATATTTATATACATAAACCAATATATATTTATGATTTATATACTTGTGATTATAGTTTTAGGTTATTCTCTGTCATTTCATGTGAGGAATTAGGAAGATTTAATCATTGTGAGGTTATGTGTAGCACACGGATGTCTTACCCATGACCTGTATAGTGGGGGTACGATCCTTAGAAGATGTGAAACTCATGTTCATGTTTGAATATACCGAGCAAGCTAACTCAGCGGAGGGTGAATATTTGTCGGACGCTTTGGGAAAAAGTGTAATTTTGTGCCGTGATAGATCTACTCCACTTTCATCTTCTGATGAAAGCAGAAGATCTGAAATAGCAAATAAGAAAATGAGAAAGTTGGGAGACAAATAATGGGAGCCAGAGGAAGATCACAGGTGGAGAGAGGCAATATCTGGGATGGTGATCGATGGCATCAAGATGGATCACTGTGGGGAAATACATGGTATGATGTTTTGTAGTCTGCTAGTACAAGCCTTCTCCTGACTTCAATCTCCGTTTCTCTTGGCAGGTCTCATTGTCCGGGAAGTGAGCATTGAGATTTCACGCCAGCAAGTCGAAGAACTCTTTGGGCCCGAAGATTACTGGTGCCAGTGTGTGGCCTGGAGCTCAGCGGGCACCACAAAGAGCAGGAAGGCCTACGTGCGCATCGCATGTGAGTCTCTGTGCACGGACACCCTGGGCTTCAGAACCTAGTGGAATGTGGGGAAATGTAGGCTGTCACGGGCTCTAGATTCAAAGAACCCTGGTCAGAACTCCCAGATTTCTGCATTTGAGCTACACGCTCCTCTTAAGTCACCAGAATATCGTTTTTTGTTTCAAGACATGGACAGTTTCTCATGGGGCACCTGGGTGGCTCAGTTGGTTAAGCGACTGCCTTCGGCTCAGGTCATGATCCTGGAGTCCCGGGATTGAGTCCCGCATCGGGCTCCCTGCTTGGCAGGGAGTCTGCTTCTCCCTCTGACCTTACCCCTCTCGTGTTCTTTCTCTCATTCTCTCGCTCTCGCTCTCGCTCCCAAATAAATAAATAAAAATCTTAAAAAAAAAAAAAAAAAAGACATGGACAGTTGCTCTTTTGGGATGTGAAAGAATTCGTGATATTTTTAAAAAGATCCTGAATTTTCTTTTTTTTTAATCTGGTAAGAATTAGGCTACAGGAAAACCAGCTATATATTCCTTTAATGAGTTTATTCTTCCAGTGTGTTAAAACAACGTTGGTTAGTTTTACTATTGGAAATAGGAATTACCCATACAAAGCTTCTCTATTTATTTTTCGGAGCCATTCAAGTGCATCAAAATACACCTCTGTTTTCCAAACTGTGCTAAATTCTGGAGCATTCATGTTTAGGGAGAGGTTAAGAAGTGCCTCACAAAAAAGGGTTCCATAATCAAATAAATGTGGGAAATTATTTTTTTTGGACAAAGTTAAGTAGGTTTATTCATTGCAAAATTCTCAAATTTTTAAATATGCTAATGCGTATTATGCCTAAGATAGAGATGTAGCCTGCAGCTCTTTCGGCGGGCCCCTTTTCTCAATGAGTGCTATTCACATCTGGAACAGCATGAATGCTGCTTTCATCTTCCGTAAGGTCCCATATTGAGATATTTTCTCAAGTCTGAAACTGCTGAAATCCATGTGAATTATGTCATTTGAACTCTTTTGTATGCCTGCATTTTATTAAATTGTTAGTAATGGATGTCAACATCACCCACCTATCATGCGTCACTGGGTCCCAACCGTCTGGGCTCTGAGGCCTCTCCCAATTCCCTACTCGCCTCTTCCCTTCCCTCCTACTTGATCTAGGTCACAGCCATGACAAACATGTCCCAGTTAGTCCCCAGGGCTCCCGTTGTTTCCCTTTTAGTCCGCCTTCCGTATCACTGCAAATGCAGTCTTCCTGAAACTCTGATCTCCGCACAGATCGCCTCCTGCCCTGGCTAAAAAGTTACAGTGGCCTGTGAGATAAAGATCCCTTACGGTGCCATATGCCATCATACGAGTCCATTAGAGCTGGCATACAAAGTACCACAGACCGGGTGGCTTAAGCAGCAGAAATCTCTTTGCTCAGTTCTGGAAACGGCAAGCCTGAGGTCAAGGCCCAACCGTGTTGGCTCCTTTGAGAGCCTCTCTCCTGGGCCTGTAGATGGTTGATTTCTCCACGCCTTTGCACGTTCTTTCTTCTGTAACTGTGCAGACCCAAATTTCTCTTCCTGTAAAGACACACCAGTCACATTGGATTAAAGCCACCCTAAAGGCCTCATTTTAACTTCGCCACCTCTTTAAAGGCCCTGTCTCCAAATAAAGTCACATTCGGAGGTCCTGATGGCGAGGACTTCAACGTGTGAACAGTTCAGCCCGTGACAACCGTGTTTCATGGTTTACATATTCACCTGTGTTTCCAGCTCCAACCACAGAGAATGTTTCCATTTTCATCACACTAGATTAGCAATACTTTGATGTCCGTGCTTTCCAGCTACTGTTCACACTGAAAGGTTTCACCCTTCTCTTATGTCTCTTCATTATTTGTAAACATTCATTTATTTAACCATATTTAGTAGCATTTACTCTGTTCTTGGGGCATTTGTAGGAATTGGGTATGGAGCCAAAAACAAACCAGGTCAAGATCCTTGCCTTCATGGAGTTTATGTTCAGGTGGGCAAGGGCAAACTCGAAATAAAATAAATAATAATCACGACCAGAGCAGATGTGAGAGATGTTAGACCTGCATAGATTAGAAGCAGTGAAGGGGGTGCAGCCTGGCTCCTGGATACAGCAGTTCCCCTCATCTGCAGGGGGATACGTTCCAAGACCCCCAGTGCATGCCTGAAACCGCAGATAGTACCAACCCCTATGTATGCAATGTTTTTTCTGTAAATACCTATGATAAAGTTTAATTTCTAAATTAGGCACAGTAAGAGATTAATAACGGTAATGATAAAATAGAACAATGATAACAATATACTGTAATAAATGTTAGTGCATGTGATCTCTCTCTCAAAAGATCTTACTGTGCTGGACTCGCTCTTCTTCTCCTGCTGATGTGAGGCGATAAAATGCCTGTGTGATGAGGTGAATGACAAGGGCATTGTGACATAACGTCAGCCCACTGGTGGCCTTCTGATGCTAAGTCAGAAGGAGGCTCATCTGCTCCTGGACTGTAGTTGAATGTGGCTGACTGAAACCGCCGAAAGCAAAACGGCAGACAAGGGGGGACTATTGTATATTTAAGAGCGGAGGTAATAGCTTTTGTTGAAAGATTGGCTGTGAGATGTGAGAGAGAGAGAGAAGAAAGAATGATTCAAGAGGCTTGAGCTTTTTGAAGAATTTGTTTCACATGTCCTGAGTGAAGTCATTCCTGTCTCATGGGTCTCCCCATGAGCAGTGTGTCCATTCTCTTCATATAGGGCTTGTCTCAATTGAATTATGTTCACTTGTTGTAACGTCTGTATTTCATGCCAGCAAGTTCTTTGAAATCAATTTTGATTAATTCAGTTTTGCTTAACTTTATATCTTTTGTGCTTAGCACAATGCCTAGAACATCATAGATGTTTAATAAATTTTGTTGAATTAGAACTGTTATAAAAACTTCCCGGTGAAGTTTATTAAAATGCTGTATATTAAACTTTCCTCTCAGAGCATATCTAAAGAGATTTGCTCTTTGTCTTATACGGATTCTCTATGAAATAGACTCTGAGATGGGGACATGCATGCAGGAAACGTAGTGAACAGTACTCTTAGGAATGGTACCTGTGGAGGAATGCAGGCCGTAGGATTGGGCAGATGGAGAAATTGAGCTTCAGGGCAGGTATGACAAAGGATGACCACATAGAGAGCTCTGGAGCTCGAATGGCCCTGTAGAGTTGCCCCACCTTGAGATATAGGGGTGAGTGGGCCTTTGTTCCTCCACATGGACTAGTCAATGGATGTCAGCCCTTGCCTTACTCCCAACCCCTACCAGCTTGTGTGACCTGGGTCAAGTCAGCTCTCCTCAACTGAGGGCAGTTCCACGAGAGAGGCACAGAGCTGTCTCACAGGCAAAACTCCCAAAAAGTGGGGTCAGTCCTGAAAAGGGATCTCAGTGGCAAAACCCTACATTCACTATAATCGTCTACAACAACTCGTGAAGACTTCATTTTATTAATTATGATGCTAAAAGATATTTTTAAACATTTTAAAAAGAAATAAGAAACTAATTGTTTTGGTCAAATATTTAAATGAATTCAAAGTTAGCTTCTAATTATAATCAAAAGAGGTACAATGATATAAGACTAAACTTTTATCTTTCATTGCTATGTGTTCATTAATATCAATTATAATGAATATTTAAAATCACAAATTTATATTCCATACTAAATTGGCTTGCCTAAAAGCTGAAGTTTAAGGGCTGCATAGTTCCAAATGAGGAATCTCTTATTGTGCCAGTTCCATATATATATATATACATATATATATACATATATATACATATATATGTATATATATAAAATTTCATAACATATGTATGGTGTGTGTATATATATATACACACTATATATGTCCCTATTCTCCACATAAAAATTAAATACATATAAGAACCCCATCTTTATTTGCAATGTATTATATAAACTTTGCTGAACGTAATTTGACATTTTCAAATAATAAGAAAACACTTTTAGTAAGAGATTAATTTGCCCATAGCACCTTTTTGTCTTCATGCGATAAGACTGAAGAACAGTTTGCCTGTAGTTCCATACTTTACTGAACTCATATGTGTGTATGGCCAAAGAAGACCATCCAGTATGTAAAGATGTAGTCATATAGATTTAAATCATGTTTAAAAAAACAAAAGGTTAAATTTCATTTCTTTTTATTAAGACTGATTTCTACCCAGCAAGTTCTTGCCAATATTGCATGAAGCTTGCAGATTTCCTAGTTTGCCCTGTTTCAAGTGAGCCTGCGGGGCTTTGCCCAGGAATATTTGACAGATGGCCATCACATAAACTGCAGTTAAAGTTTAAATTTGTCTCAGGCAAAGATAACTATGATGCTAAGGTTAAATAAATGCAATTACATCTCACCTAATTAGACTTATACTCACGTGTACGATGGAGGAGCTCATCGTTCTTTCCCAAAAAGCTCTATTTTCAGAAGTTTATAAGGCAGGAATGAATATTGGCTATTTGTTTATTTGCTTATAATATTTCGTTTATTCAAACTATGTAAAATATAAAAATTGATTTGTGATGCAATCAAAGCAGAAGAGAATAAAAGGAGCTATGGAAGTTAGAATGTAGCCAGGCACGGGCTGAGAACATGACACGCCTCCTCTAGAATGGCGCACATTTACTACAGGGCCATGCCAGTGTCCTCCGTGGGTGCCGTGGCTTCCACGGCAGAGCAAGGAGTTGCTTCTGAGAGACCTCAAGTCTATCCCAAGCAGAGCCTTTATGGCAACATGGCTACCAGTTTCATTGGGTTTTCTTCCGGTATCCCTTGTTCAAAAGCCAATGGGAAAATTCCTAGTGTTAAGGTAAGAATATGATTCAGGCAAAATGTTAGCAAACACTGTCATTCTTTGGGCAATGTCTTAGTTTTGATAGGGCTGCTGTTTTGATGTTCTGGTTGTTGTTGATGTGGTTGTAGTTGTTCGTGGGAAGGAATACAATGTCAGTAGC